TGCTCACGCGCCGGAGGCTCGACTTTGCGAGGATGTCTCGAGCCAGAGCCCCGGACTGGGACACGCCCGGCGCTGCTCTCCCCGGGCATGCACCCATGGGGGCGCGGCGGAGCCTGGCTTTCTCACGCGACGGGGTGGTCGACTTTGCGAGGCGGCGAGAGACCCGGACTGAGACACGCCCAGCGCGCCCGGTGCGCCCAGCGCGCCCGGTGCGCTCCCCGGACAGGGTCCCTATAGGGGCGCGGCGGGACCTATAGCTTTCTCACGCGCCGGGGGGGCGACTTTGCGAGGATGTCTCGAGCGAGAGCCCCAGACTGGGACACGCCCGGCGCGCTCGGTGCGCCCTGTGCGCCCCCCGGAAATGGGGGTGCGGTGGGGCCTGGCTTTGTCACGCGCCAGGTTAGGATGGCGTGGCTTCCACAGAAACTCCACCAAATCACACCCCACGCTTGAGGGGCCCTGGCGACCTCTGCCGTCGGGGTCACCAGTGACTGCAGGGGGGGTCCTGGATCACGAGCGCCCGTGCTGCCGAGGCGGCAAGAACGTGCCGCACCCTTGTCGAGGTTTCCGAAGAGTCCACCTGGTTCTCATCGTCTTGTTGTTTCTCTTGGCAAGCTGTTGGGCCTCGAGGGCCCGAAGCGTCAGGGTCCTCCTCGTCCTCCTCCTCCTCCTCCTACTCCTCCTCCTCCTCCTCCTCTTCCTCCTCCTACTCTTCCTCCTCCTCCTCCTCCTCCTCCTCCTCCATCCCCCTCCACCATCCTCCTCTGTCTTCATCCTCAATGTTGCCTCCACCAAATGCTCTTCCCAATCCTAGGTGCCCCATTTCTTCCGTCCAATCCGCCACTGCACCTGCCACCCCCTCTTTCATGTATTCCCCCACCCCGCTCCACTTCGCTCGCTTGACCCTGTTCCTCTCCCACTACTGTATATATCCTTCTCCACCATCCTCTCCCAATCCTTCTCCTCCACCTCCTCCCCATTCCCCCTCCTTGCCCCCTGGAGAAGCAGGAACGCTGATCACATGCGGACGTAGGGATTGCGGGGTATGATGGATAGCAACAGCCACAGCAGCACAGGAGAAGCAACTCGAGGCCGAGGCAGGATGAGGGAGTGGAAGAGAGGGCAAACGAGGAGGGCGAGGAGCAGAAACACAAAGAGGAGTACAGATGAGGGAGGAGTAGAGAAGGGAGGGAGGGAGGGAGGGAGGGAGGCCGGAGGAGGGATGACGGCCGAGGAGGAGCAGGAGGACGCGGAGAAGGCAGAGGGCGGAGCCGAGCAGAAGGAAGACGAGGGCCATATGGTATGGCGGGGGGGCCTGGGACAGAGAGGTGCCCCACCGCTACTTCCCGGACCTCTCCCGGGGAGCGTCCTGCCGAGCCCTCCGAGGAGAGAGCCCAGCCGTGGCGACGAAGGCTCTCCGGGACGAGCAGAGGGGGCGGCACGGCGCTTCCTCCTCGGCCGGGGAGGGCCCTCGCCTGCCACCGGGCGGGCAGCTGCTCCTTGACGGCGTCCAGCCCGAAGCGGGTGGCCTCGCCCTTGGCGAAGGCGACCTCTGGGCGGAGAAAGAGCGGGCGGCGGCCGCGCCCCGCCGCGAGCGCGGGCCCGCCGAGCTCCGCGCGGCGCCCCGCGGCCTCGGGATGGCGGCGCGGCGGAGGAGGAGGAGGAGGAGGAGGAGGAGGAGGAGGAGGAGGAGGAGGAGGAGGAGGAGGAGGAGGAGGAGGAGGAGACGGCGCCCCGCGGCCCCGGAGGGGGCCCGAGGCCGCCCCCGGGGGCCCCGCGGCGCGCGCGATCCGCGTCGCGACCCCTGGCGCTCTCGCGCCGCCGCCGCGGAAGGGGCAGCCGCGCACCGCGCAGGCCGCAGGGCGCGCGGTGCGCCCCCTGCGGGTGGCATGGGAGCTGCGAGGGTCGAGGCGCTCGAGCACTGGAGGAGCAGCAGGCGGCATGCAGGAATGGGGGCCCGGGCGTGCAAATCGGGGGGCGCGAAAGAGCGATGCGAGGAGTCCACCTCTGGGAGGTCTTCGCCAGAACGGCTGGGTGCTGTGCACACTCCTCCCGATCCCAAGGGGGTCATTTTGAGCCGGATCAGCCCGAGCCCAAGATTGAGCAGGATGTAGTGGGGAAGCGCGCGACCACGCCAGACCACACCAGCAGGATACACAAGCGCCGAAGCTGAATTCAGCCTCCGATGAGTTGCATCCTAAGCGATGTCATGGAGCAGTGTGGTGAGCGATCGCTCTGCTTCGTAGGGCGGGATGCCTGGGCAAGCTCGGGACGTTGGTGCTGGGGGTCCGGGATGTGGGCCAGAACTGCTGGCCCGACACGCTGAGAAAGCGCTCCTGGCCGTGTTGAAGCCAACGAGCTCTCGAAGTCAGATCGAGCGGGTTTGCTTTCTGCCCAGCCCTCCAGCTCGTGTTATTGTGGGTCTCTGGATTCGGGTCTCGGGCTGGAGGAGCACGCGAAAAACATAACATATAACAGCTGAGGGCTTCTGCTAACATGGAACGCGCGTGCTCCTCCCTCCACATCTTTGTGTTGTTTCTCCTTTCCCTCCTCGGCCTACATCTCCTCCTGTTCCTACTCCCCCCCCTCCTCCTTCTCCTCCTCGCAGTGTTCTGGGTCCTCCTGCACCTCCTCCCCGCCCTCCTCGCCTTAGTCGTGCTATTGAACATTGCTCGTTTGTGTGTAATGATGCCATATAATGTCCAGCCAAGGTTCTCGAGAACCATGCAGCGCAAAAGGGCAATAGGGAATTTCCGTTCCCGCTTGATGGGGAAAGCTGATGTGGAAAAGGATGTCCCAAGTGTAAAGACAGGTACAGGGTGGCTAGCGGAGTGGCATGCTTGCGCCCAAGCAGCCATGGATCTGAGGATCCAGGCTGCCAGGTGGCACAGAGCAGAATTCGCCACAGCAAAACAGCACATCGCACACTGATTCCGCTTCTCCTCTTGCCTTCGCCTCCTCCTCCTCCTCCTCTTCCTCCCTCGTCCTCACCATTGACTTCCTGAGACTGGGCCTGACCCTGGGTATGGTTACCACCAGTAGCACAGCTATGTATGATTATCATGCTCCTCAGCCTGATACTGCTGTACCTCCGTCTACTGATGCTGGTCCTCCTCCCCCCCTCCCTCCACACCAGCACCCCCTGCCACACTGGTTGCTCCTCACTCTTCCCCCTGACGAGCTGACGAGCTGAAGGCATGAGGCTCCGTCGGAAGCTGGCCTTCTCCCCCAGGGCCGGTCGGCCCTGGGGGGTCGACCGAGCTAAGAGCCAGGCGACTCCTGGGTCTTTCGCTCCAGGAGTACTCTTCCCCCCCTCACCATCCTCAGTCTTCTGGCTGCGCCGCCGCCCCCCTCCTCATCATGGTTACCCATCCCGCTGCTGCTGCTAACGCTCCTCCTCCTTCTCGATCCTCATTAGCGTTCTCCCCCAGCCCTCCCGCAGCGGAGCCCCGGGTGGCGGGCGCGCCTGAATAGGACCGAGCTCCTTTCGCTCGGGAACCAGGACCCTCTGCTCGTGCATCTCCTCTATGGCCTCCCGAATCCCGCGCCGCGCTTGAGGGATACGTGGCGGACAGCTGTCATGATTGTCATCTTCAGCATTTTCGCCTGCATCATCATCATAATCATCATCATCATCATCATCATCATCATCATCATCATCATCATCATCATCATCATCATTATCATCATCATCATCATCATCATCGTCATCGTCATCGTCATCGTCATCATCATCATCATTATCATCATCTCCTTCTTCAGCATCATAATAATCATCACCACTATGCCCATCATCGTCATCATCCCCATCACAAAGCAATCATCATCAGCATGATCATCATCACCATCGGCACCATCATTAACATCACCATCACCTTCGTCACCATCACCATCACCGCCATCACCACCACCACTACCATCACCATCACCACCGCCATCATCAGAAACACCATTATCACCATCATCATCATCGTCATCAGCATCGTCGTCATCATCATCATCATCCTCACCATCATCACCGGCATCAACATCATCATCACCATCATCAGTACCAGCAGCATCACCATCATCACCACCACCACCATCATCAGCATCATCATCAACATCATCATCATCATAAACAACCACCAGAAATCATCAGCACAATTATCATCATCAGCATCATCATCACCATCCTCACCATCATCGTCAACGTCATCGCAATCGTCGTCATCATTAGAATCGTCGTTATCCTCATCATCTTCATCCTGCTTACCATCTTTATCTTCATCAGACCTACACATCCGAGGTCGCGATGGATTCACAGTTTGCCCCCCCAGAGGTCTGGACCCCTTCCGGGGACAGGCTTATCATCCTGGTTTGTTGTTGGCGTCCTGAGGCCCGGCAGCGGCTCCCGAACGCCGAAGCTTGCAACACAAGCAGTTCTTCGCATGCTTGTCCAGGACGCGAGGATGTCATGTCAACCGCAGCTCTCATTACTCTCCGCAGCGTCATCCTTCATCATCAGCGTCATCACCATCGTGGTGCTCCTGGCTGCGGAGGCCACGCTGACGTTCCTCTGCGTCCAGCAGCGCGGCGGCAGCTCTACGTTATACGCGTGCCGCTGGCATCCTGATATCGGTGACTCGGAAGCGTCGGCATCAGCATTGCTAGCGTCACCATGACCACCAACGGCATCATCGTCATAACCATCAGTACCAAAACCGCCATCATCCCCATCACCATCATGGAGAAGACAGGGAGGGTGAGGGTGGGGAGGCTGCGAGACGGGGAGATGCTCGGGGAAGGGAGCTGGGACAGGGGCTGGGATGGGCAGGTGGGGCGGAGGGAAGGGGGGACATGGAGCAAAAGGGAGTGAAAGGGAGGCGAGGCAGGGAGGGGAGGGGTGGGTGGATAAAGGGACGGATGCGGTGAGGGGCTTCAAGGTGGAAAGAGAAGGGATGGGCAGGCAGCACAGGGGAGGGAACGGCACGGGAAGAAGGAGAAAGGAAGGTCACATTTCCTCCCGACCGACGACGCACCGCGTCGACATCCTGGAGCAATCATCATGTCTCGGCGTGCCAGGTACGAAATCGGGAAGGCCGCTTCGTCTCATGGGTCGCCTGGGAGGGGCCCCTTTTGAGCAAGTGGCCAAACGTTTCGACGTACTCGGAGTCCTTGCAGTACATCTCTTTGCGGCACATGACGTTACAGTGGTAATTGCCAGTGGCGCAGAACATTCTCTCCAAGGCCTGCGTGGGAACCCGCGAATGGTAACGATCTGTGTTGTTCATATCGCCAGGCAGCCATGTTACTCTTCTGCAGGAAGTATGTAAAACGATAGCGATGAGAAAGAGAAGCAGGAGGAGGCGCCTCTGCATACCCCAGTTCAGCACCCTGGAAGGACGCACACTTGATGTTGCCGTACATCGCATCGCACATCTTCTCGGCCTGCTCAATCGTAGTGTCCGCGGTGATCCTCTTGTTTGAGCAACGCTTCGCGTAGAAGCGATAGCTCGCCATGAACTCGGACTGGTCTGTCCGTCTGTGCTTCTGGAACAGCTCCTGCGCCCCTGCCGAGACGTCGTGGTGGGGAAGGCCCTGATCAAGCATGCTGCTCAGGTGGACCCAAGTCCATGTGTAGCACCTCCCCATCCCCCTATTTTGTTTCCAACATCCTCGGCCTCGTCATTTTCATCCTCCTCCTCCTCATCATTTTCCTCCTCCTCCTCCTCCTCATCCTCCTCCTCCTTAGAAAACAACTCACGGAAGCTGTTGGTAGTCCCCATGGCACCCAACAGCGCACCCTTCCGGGCGCAAAGCGGACATAATGCACACCGCCCCAACCTAGCGCTGCTGGGCGCTATTTGTCGCTATCGGTCGCTATTTGAGCACTGTTGGGCGCTATTGGGCTCCAGGGAGCGCTATTACACGCTATTGAGTGCTGTTGGGCGCTATCGCCAGCATGCATCCAATCCAAGACGAGCAAAAGTGAGGGGGCCGAGGGACACACAAAAAACAAACACAAACCCTAAGATTCCCCGCGATGTTCCAGATTCTGTGGAGTTCCGTCTTCCTGCCCCCCTTCCTATGTGTTCCCATACTTTCCTAAGAATCAACGATTAATTGTCATTGTGTCTTCCCTTCCTGAAGTAGCTTCTGTCGTTTACTATCTAAAGATGCTGTGAGCGCACAGGGCCAGTGGGCGCTATTTGACACTATTGAGCGCTGTTGGGCACTATCACCAGCATGCATCCAGTCCAAGACGAGCAAAAACTTCAGTGGTTTACTATCAAATCCTCCTCCTCCTCCTCCTCCTCCTCCTCCTCCCCTCCTCCTCCTCCTCCTCCTCCTCCTCCTCCTCCTCCTCCTCCTCCTCCTCCTCCTCCTCCTCCGCCTCCTCCTCCTCCTCCTCCTCCTCCTCCTCCTCCTCCTCCTCCTCCTCCTCCTCCTCCTCCTCCTCCTCCTCCTCCTCCTCCTCTCCTCCTCCTCCTCCTCCTCCTCCGCCTCCGCCTCCGCCTCCGCCTCCTCCTCCTCCTCCTCCTCCTCCTCCTCCTCCTCCTCCTCCATGCGAAACACACCCCTCTTTCTACTGCTCACACGCGCACCCACTTCCCTCTCCACTTCTAGCTCCTGTTCCTAATCATCCTCCGGCATCACAGCATCATTCCCATCATCCTACTCATACCGAACCTTCCCTTCCTTCTCTCCTCCCCCATGTTCCGAGGCCTGCTCATTTCCTCGTTTCCTCCTCCTTCTCCACTTGCGACACATCTCTCTTCTGTCCTCCTTCCCATCCTCCCCCCTTGCTCCCAACATTCCCGCTGTACTCGTGGCCCCTGACCTCTCCTCCTCCTCCTCCTCCTCCTCCTCCTCCTCCTCCTCCTTTGCCATTGCTCAGACATTTAAGTGTCCTCCTCCTCCTCTTGTGTTTCCTCCTCCTCCTACTCCCCTCCTCCCCAGCCCTCCCTCTCCTCCTCGTCATCGCCCCCCTCCTCCTCCTCCTCCTCCTCCTCCTTATCCTTCTCCTCCTCCTCCTCCTCCTCCTCCTCCTCCTCCTCCTCCTCCTCCTCCTCAGACCTTCCAGGCGCCATCCCGGGCCCGCGTTCCGAGCCAGGCCCTGCCCCTCCCCCTCCTCAATCCTCACCTTTGAAACAAAGACACCTCGAAAGCCTAAGTCCTCGGTCCCCTCCCCGCCGCGGTGATCCCCGCAGGCCTCCAAAAGGGTTTCCTGGACGACTCCAGAAACCTCGGGGGGGCCAGAAAGCTTGATCCCTGATCCGCCCCCCGACCCCGAGATCTGACATTGCGCGAATTTTCCTGGCGAGTGACCCAACCAAATGCAGTTGTGAGTGCCGCATTTGTGGATCTCGCCTTCAGTGGAGCCCCCTACGGCCCTATGGGACCACGGAGCGTGTGGGAGGTCTACCGAAATGGGCCTCGGGGGGAGAGTACGCCGAAACGGCTCTGGAGCCACGAAGAGTGTGAGGGGTGTGCGAAAGCGAGCGCGGCGCCCACGTAAGGGCGGTGCCTCTGAAGCCTTCGGTGTGGGGTTGTCTATGGGGCCGCGAATCGTGTGAGGGTGTGTGCCGTAACGGGTGTGACGCCCACGTGTGGACGGTACCCCTTGGGGCCTCAGGTGGAGCTCCCAATGGGGTCACGAAGCGTGAGGGGTGCGCCGGACAGGATGTGACGCTCACATGCGGACGGTGTCCCTGGGGCCTTCGATGGAGCTCCCTATGGGGCCACGAAGCGTGTGAGGGGTGTGCTGGAGCAAACGTGACGCCCAAATGTGGAAGGCGCCTCTGGGGTCTTTGGTGGGAACTCTTGTCGGGCCACGAAACGTGTGAGGGTGTGACGCTCACATGTGGACGGTGCCTGTGGGGCCTTTGATGGAATTCCACATGGACGGTGCCTCTGGGGCATTCGGTGGAACTTCCTGGAGGGGCCACGGCACGTGTGAGGGTGTGACGTGCACATGTGGACGATGTTTTGGGGGCCTTCGGTGGAGCTCCTTTTGGGGCCACGAAGCTTGTGAGGGGGGGGTCAACATGGGCATGCGGAGGGCAGAGACAGGGATGGGAGGAGGGAGGAGAGGAGGAGGAGGAGGAGGAGGAGGAGGAGGAAGAGGAGGAGGACGAAGAGGAGGAGGAAGAGGAGGAGGAGGAGGAGGAGGAGGAAGAGGAGGAGGAGGATGAGGAGGAGGGGGCAGAGCGTGGGCTGGAGGCGCAGTCCGTCTCGCCGCCGCCTATCGCCCCATGCCCCCGCCAGCATCATGCCCTGAAACGCGGCAGGACCTTGCAGGTACCTTCCGAAGATACGATGGCGAGAGGTCGCTGTTCGGTCCCTCGATATTCGGTTTCGAAATGCATGTAGGTGCAGCTGGGCCCTGCGCCGAACTAGCAGGAGCGGACGATGGGATGGCCGCCGGGTCGCACGTGGAACTGGAAGAGAACGGCTCGACGACGAACAGTCGAAGGATGATGTGGCCGAATGGATGCTGGCCGAGGAAGTGGCCGATGAAGCCGATATACATTGACGATGTGTCAGCATAGCTTGGTGCAGCACACCACGAACCAGCAGCCGCCCCTGAGCTTTTCACAGAGGCAGACGCAGCGCTGTCCTCGCCGTTTCATTGAGCGCATGTGCCTCGGCATAGCTCGGGGCCTGCGCAAACCGATGAATCACCAGTCGATCGTGATGGAACATGGCCACAACGACTGCAGCAGACCCTGGCCGACATAGGTCGGCCATGAAGTGGAACAGGGGGGCAGACTTTCAAAACAAGCGCAGCAAAGTGGTGGAGCCTCCCACACGCACGTACATAATGGGCAACAGAGTCTCGACCTCCAGGGCATCCGTAAGCACGACCAGCGTCCCGCTGCATACGAGTGTGGGTGGTCCAGCCACCCACCATCGACTTCAGAACAATGAGCCTCCAAGCACAAGGGACGTCGTCCATCGTGCGCTTCACTTGGGCAGTGTCCACATCATGAATGCCCACGTGTTTTGCATCTCGTCGTCGTCTGAGCTGTCCGAGGTCAGGTGGAAACACGCTGCGTGCAGGACGGCCTGGAAGACAGCCTGCCACTTCACGCGCGGAGACCGATCAGACGCACGTGCTCTCGTTGCTCTCTCAGGGGTTCAACTGACACGAAGTGGAAGCTGATCGCCGAAGAACCGATCGACGGCCCGAGAAATCTCCACCCCGCTGCCTCCACACAGATAGCCAATTGACCGGCACGTCTTAGCCTCTCGTCCGATGGATACCCTGCCGCCGCCGCTTCCAGGAAACACGCGAACGGTGGGGATCTCCAAACGGCAGGGCCAACTGCGGGAGGTCCCACCAGGTGGCGAAACCGTCGGACATCAGCAAATCTCGCAGACTCGGCAAAACAATTCTCCACGACAGGCAGGTGATGAGACTCGCGCGCGTTCGAGTAGCCGCCGCCATCGCATACATTGACGAGATCCGTCGGCCACCTAAGCCAATCAAATTGAGGCAATCGCCCATCCTGAGCACGCTGCTGGGCGATCGGAGCAATCGCGCCACGCGGTGCCTCTGACTCTGACTCTGCGCCCAACTGCGCGGCGCCAGCTGCGCCACATGCGACATAAATGGGGGCACCCTCTCACGGCGCAAGTGTCGCAGCGCAGAGCGCGGGGCGCCCGACGCAGTCAGATCCGACAGCCGGCTGCGCAGATTCGAGGATGGCCCCTCGCATTGAACAGCAATTGCGGCCCCAGAGCCAATCTGGGAGCCAATGTAAGTTTTCGCGCCCGAGATCCCAAGCCCTCGCCATTCCGCTCGCGCCCATTCGGGCCCTGCGCAAGCGCTGCCGAACACCCTCGCCCAGCGGTCGGCCCGAAAGGATGGCCGAACATTTGGGTAAGTTCAAGCGCAAGTTCGCGGATGCCACGGCGTTGCGAAAGACTCATCCTTGAAAGCCACGGCGATGAAGAATGATAGCACCTTGATCAGCAGCACATGCACGGGCATAACCCAGAGGAGGTCGAGGGCTCGAGAGGCTCACAATCAGAACATCCAAGAACGGATTGGCCGCTATGACATAGAACGATCCGCTCAATGGACAACCTTGCGACACCCCCGAAGACATCACGCACGCGCGCGACGGGGCGCGGCCACAGCGGAAACACAGCGTCTGCTGAATGTTCTGTCGGAGAGCACTCAACAACTGGCGTGGCAGACGCAGGCATTCCAGGCATATGACCATCCGTTCTCGACTCACCGAAAGGAATGCTTGCGCAAAGTCGAAGGCGATGAGCGCAGGGGGGTTCTCAGGGAACAGGTGGGATCTGATGCTGGCTCGGCGGGCAAGAATATCGAGCTTCACGACGTTCGCGAGGAGGTCGCGGCCCCTGGCGAAGCCGTTTTGAATGCGGGCCCCCACCTTCTAGGTGACCGCGGAGAGGCAACCGTTGAGGACCCCGCAGACCACCTCATCGTTAGTGTTATTCAACCCAAGGGGCCTCGTGTCTCCAGGGCCCCTGAGGACCCCATCCAGCTTCGGGCTCGCCGTCGGGGACCTTCGGGGGCTTCGGCAAGAACACCGCCGAAAAAAGGCCGCGAAACCAGGCGACGCGCAATGGCCAGCGGGCACCCGACGGAAGACCTCGAGGAGGATCTCGGGGCCCGCCCCCACGCCCCACGCGACGCGGCGAAGGCCACCAGGCCCAGGTGCAGCCCAGGACGCCCTGGAGATGAACCCCGAGACGTCGCCCAGGAGAGGCGGCTTCCGGTCGTGGAAATCCTCTGGGGAAGCAGAGCGCCGAGCGCGCACCTCTGCTCGGCGCGGCGCAGGATGGGCATGTTCGAGGACAGGCGCCCAGCACGACGAGAGACTGCGAGTGGCCTCATCCCCCACTGACTCCTCCTCCCCCGTCGTGACCACTCTTGACATCTTAGCCGCCTCCGCCTCGGTCCACTTCTGAATGTTCATATCGCCACCCTCCTCCACCAACGGCTCCTCAGAAAGGATGGCTGCCAGGAACTTGCGCCTCGCCAGCGGGTTCCGCAACTGAGCCGCGCGCGCGGCTGCCTGCAACTGCCCGCGGGTCCGAGCCCGTCTCCCCGCGCGGGGTCCCCCGCGGGTAGCAGCGTCGAAATCGCGCCCGTGCACCTCAGACTCTTGTTTCTGAAGGCGGGCGCGTAGAGCCTGGAAAAACGCTTGGGCCGATGGGCTGGACGGTGTTCTCCGAGAACTCGAGCTGATCCCGAAGCCGCGGACGTCGAGCCACCAGGGCCCGCGCCGGGGAGATGTTCTGGCGCCGCGCGCATCTGCAGACGGACCGAGACACAATAGCCCTGCGAGCCCGCTCGCGGCCGCCCGAAGCCAGTCGCGCGCCCCGAACGAGACGTCCCGCGCATTGCCGAATCTTGGTGGCGACCTTGAGGAGCTGCGGGGGGCCCTCGAGGAGCATCTCCGAGGGCGCCTTGGACACGAGCGAGCCCGCCGCGGGCACGAAGAGCAGGCCCAGGTAGACCCATGTCGGGACCGAGCGCGGGCGCCGTTCCCCTGCAGGAGGCCGAGGGCCCCAGGTGACGGTGGCAAAGGCGTGACCAGAGAGGCCCCCCCGAGAAGCTTCCTGAGGCCCACCCATAGTCGACGCCGCCTGATACTGAACAGCCTGTCGATTCTCGACGCCGCCTCCGAGTTCGAGCGCCCGTGGGTCAGCGCGTCGGACGCGAACTCCGCGAGAGAGCGGAAGAGGCGCTTCCAGAGGCCATCCCCCGACCGAGCTGCCCTCGACGCGCCTGCCCTGGTGGGGGCACCTGAAACCCTCGCGCAATATGGCACTCCAGCCGGCGGCATCTCACCACCAGGGACTCGAGAGACAGCAGCGGCCCGCTCCGAGGGCATATCAGCAATCTTAGAATCGCAAGCCAGCGCGAGTGTCGACGTCATTTGCGAATGCCGTGTCTGACGAGCCTGTGCGCGCATTGTCGGGCATATCTGTGCTACCTCAGACTTCGCCAAATGAAAAGTGCGCACATGTCAATGATGCGCCGCACAGCCCGACTCCAGATTCTCGATCAGTAGGCACAGCGCCCTGCCACTAATAAAACTCTCCGAAGAGATCTGCAGCGAGGGTCGATCAGGAACCAGTGTGAGCACACCTCCAGAACGCGGCGAATCGCAATCAAAGTGGAGCGAGAAATGACGCATGCCTGCACTCTGTAACAACTCACGAACAGCGCCTTTATCTCCGTGAATTTCTTGAACAGAAGCGATGGCACCCATGGGGCCAACATTCTCGAACGGCCGGCTCTCTTCGCCATGGCCACAGGCACAATATGTGATAGAGAACTCGAATCCCACGTCGCATATCGCGCTCTATCCCAACACAAGAATCTGCTACCCACACCAATGAACCTCCTTGACGCCGAAGGTCCGCTTCGCCGGCGCCACGGCATCCTCTCTAGCAAGGCCCGTGCCGGCCAACGCTGCCGCGCTCCGGGAGATCTGCGGGATGCGCCTCGAAGGCGAGGGCGAAATTTTGGCCGGGGGGTCCCGGCGCGATGGTATCTGCCCGCCCTCGCGGCCCAGGAAATTGCGAATCTGGCGGTTGTCCCAGAGTGTCCGTCGTAAGCTTTTGCGTGCCATCTCCGTCGCCGCCCCCGTAATACTCTCATCGCTGGATACGCGCAGGCGCACCGACATCGAATGCAGAGTGATAGAGAAGTCTCTCCATTTCCCTGAGCCCAGCCGCAGAGCCGCGCGCGCCTGCTTGCGACGGGACTCTCTCGTCGCTGCCAAGGGGCCCGAGAAGGCCAGCACGAACTGCTTCGACATCTCATCGCGGAGCAACTCCACCTCACGGCGAAGTTCGCCGCGCCCAGCCACTCCATGAGAGCCTCCTGCACCAGGCTCTTCGGCGCCTCTTCAGCAGCTCGCACCACCATGCTGGTCGCGTCGATGCACCGGCCCCGATCCAACGAGACGCTCGGCACATCTCCGCGGGCGCAGTCTCGCCACGTCCAGCTCCTTCTCCAGGTGGGCCAGGCGCCGCTCCAGGTCCGCGCTGACACAGTCGCGCAAGTGGAGCCGCGCGCCCTGGTCCGCCACCCGCGCGCGGGGCCTCTGCATATCCTCCCCGAACTTCGCCTCAAATGCAATCTGCATCGGCAAGATGGCTGCTGAGAGTGCACTGGGCAGCTGGGTCTGCAACGCTGCAAATGCCGCCGCAGTGAGCTCCCGAACCGTCTGATCACACACCATCTTGAGCTGCTCATCTGCTATCATTGTCCACGGGTCAGACCCGCGGGGATGTTGCTGCTGCACCTGCTGGGGCTGCTGCTGCTGCTGCTGCTGCTGCTGCCCCACCTGTGGTAGGGCTCCACCGAGTGCCCGAAGCGGAGAGGCAGGAACAGGCCACGGCATTGGGTGCTGTCCAGGGGCGGTGGCGGGCGGGGTGGCCGTGCCTTCGACCTCTGCGTGCTGCTGGCGCTGCTCGTGCTGCCAAACCTGCTCCTGCTGGCTGGCTGAGAAGGCCGGGGCCATCTCGAGGGCCTCCAGCTGGCTGGCTGGGAAGGTCTCGGCATCGCAGCGGCCGCCAGATGCGGGAGCGCCGCTCCGATGCACCACTGTCATGAGCAGCGCTGGTTGAGCAGCGGTCACGCCGAGAATCCCGATCCCGATCCCTACAACGATACCGAACACATGGGGAATATGAAGGACTCGAGATCAGGCTGCCCACTTCTCGCCTCGAACGCCAGCTCATCGCATCCTCAGCCTTCTTGCTCTTTTCTCCACTTTTACCATACACGATCCACTCGAGTGATGTCCTGCCGGTAGCCCACCGGCCCTGCCGAGCCTGACCAACACACGTGGTTGTGCCCTCTGCCCGCGGGCACGTCTATGCCAGGCTGGCGACCTGGCTCGCGGCAGCGCCGTCCTGCGCCGTGGCCGCCGCGGGGCGCGGGCCGCCTATGGCCGCGCTGGCCCGTCGCCCGCCCCGCGCGCTGCCCCCCAGGGCGCTGCGGGCTCGGGCAGCAGGCTGGGAGGAGGAGGAGAAGGAGGAGGAGGAGGAGGAGGAGGAATCGATCTGTGATGATCCCAGGGCCCGAAGCCAGGCGGAAACGCTCGGTGTGCAACAATTGCAGCGCACAGATCTCAAGGTCCGCCCCCGCCTCCTTCGATCCTTGACCTCCTGCCTCTCCGCGCCCTCGGCTCCCAATCCTTACCCACCAATGCTCGTGGTGCCACGCCCGCGGGTTAGCACGTCCGTCGGCCGCAGCGATCCGCGGGGTGATGTCCTGGGTCGGGGTCGCCCAGTCGCACCCGAGCCTCTCCTACCAGGCGGAGCAGGACAACCTCCCTCGTCTTCCTCCTCCTCCTCCTCCTCCTCCTCCTCCACTTTCTCCTCCTCCTCCTCCTCCTCCTCCTCCTCCTCCTCCTCCTCCTTCTGCTCCTCCTCTCCTCCTCGTCTCGTCCCCGTCCTCGCTGTCCCCGTGTTCCTCCCGTCCTCGTCCCCATCCTTCTCCTCCTTGCCCTCGTCCTTGTCCTTCTCCGAGCGTGCTCGATCCATCAAGCTCTCCTGGAAACACGCACCCCAAGCTGGGAGCCCAGAGGAAAAGCGACAGCCCGGGAAGCGGAACGGGACGAGAAGGACGAGGATGACCAGGGCGAGGGCGTGGAGGCAGACGAGGAGGAGGACGAGGACCTCGAGCACGAGGTTGGCGTCCACCTCCCTGTCCTCGTTCTGCTCCTTGTCCACCTGCTCGTCCTCCTGCTCGCCCTGGCCCCCCCCAGCCCTCGCCCACCGTCGTCGTCCTCCACGCCCCTGGTACGCTCCTGCCACGAAGGCGCGGCGCTGGCGTTGGGGACGTTCGGGCACACCCAGGAAGCGCTCGACGAGGCGCAGCCGCGGGAACGCATCCCGAGGCGAGTTAACCGCCGGGAGCCGACGAAACCTTCCTCCCCCCTCGCGATCCTCGATCCCCGATCCCCGATCCTCGATCCTCTATCCTCCTCCTCCTCCTCCTCCTCCTCCTCCTCCTCCTCCTCCTCCTCCGATTCCCCTCCGATCCCCGATTCGAAACCATCTTCTGGTATCCCGCTACTCACCGAGACGGCGCGAGCGAGTTCCGCGCCTCTCGGTCGACTTCGTGGGATCCCCTCCCGGTGTCCTAGCAGAGGACCGGGTACCGCACGCAGTCCGGGGCGCCTGCGAGCGTCGGCGGTCCCTCGGCGACGGCCTCGGCCTCGGCGTCGGCCCTGGCCGCGTCGTCCGACGCCGCGAGGCGGCGGTGGCCGGCCTGGAGGCGCCGGCCGCCCGCGCGCCGCCGCGGAGCCGGAGGGGCCGCTGCGCGAGCTCCATGGCACGGTTGGGCGGCGGGGGTGCAGGGCAGCTGCAGCAGCAGGACGGAGGCGAGGATCAAGTGCAGTGCTATCAGGGGGCCGCATGCGAGCCCTGCCCCTGCCCCCCACGACTTCTGAGGGGGAGGGTGGGATAGGGTTCGCATGTGGCCCTCTAGCTGTGGCCACCATTAGCGGCCTGAAGGGATGGATGTGGTCCCAGCGGCAGGCTCGATGCAAAACGGCCCGAGCCCGACTAGGGATCACTGGCTCCTGATGCCATTCCTGACACTGTCCCAGCTGTTTATCCGCATCCTTCCACTGCTCCTGACATTGATCCTGCTACTGCTGCCCCTCATCCTCCTCCTCTTTCTCCTCGTCCTCCTCCTCACTCTCCCTTGTCGCGAACTGTGGGGCAGGGTCAATCGCGCCCAGCGTGACGGAAGCCACGGCCGAGGGGGCACCAATCTTAGCCCTGTGCCCCCAGAGGTCAGTCCATGGGCAGACGGGAGAACTGGGCAACCAAATAGCCAGAAACCTTTGGACGCCTGCGCGGATTTCTTGGGTCGGCGCTTGCCCCCCCTTCACGCCCCGTCCCATCGGGCGTTGCTTATGGGGGGCGATAAACGGAAGGTGGGGGAGAAATGTGCACCTTTCGTGGACCTTTGGGGGCCCAGGAGGCTCGTTAGGGCTCCTCTCCTGAAAACATCGGTCCCACCAATTATCGCCCGCCCGAGGCGACAGCGCCCGATCGCTTGCGTGCGCAGCGCGCTCAGGGCGGCGCTGGAGGCGGCACCATCGGCCCCCTTTATCAGCGGATGCAAGCGAGTTTTGAGAACTCGTCCTCGCCGGGTCCACCGTCCGTGGATTTGTCCCAGGGTCCATGGGAGGCGCGCGCCGAGTTCGGAACACGACCCACGCTGCTGCAGGGCAGGCGAGAGGCCTTCAGATCGAGATGACAAACAGAAAGTGCGGAAACCAGGCCTGGCTGGGAAAGGGCTCGACGGGGGGCAGAGGGGGGAGGGAGGGCATGGGGAAGAGCGGGTGGGGGGGGGAGGAGGAGCGCGGGAGAGCGACAGGGAGTGTTAGGGCGAGCGGAGGGGGGGGGAGGCAGATGGGCGAAGGGAGAAGGAACGGGGGGGGCGGGGGCAGGGGATGGCCGACCCGCACCGAGCCGCTCTTCGCGAGGCTTCCAGCCCTGAACCCCCCTCCGCGCGGCCGCTCTCGGGGGCACCCTATGGGCGAGGCCGGACAAAACCGCGGTCGCTGGGGCGCGGTCGCGGGGGCCAGGCAAAATAGGACGGTGGAGCAGCGCCTGGGTGTTTGACGGCTGCCAGAAAGGATCGCCAGGGAGAGGATAAGAGAAGGCGAGGCGAGGGGGGGGAAGGATGATGGGGGAGGAGGAGGATGAGCCGCGGCAGCAGCGGCTGCGGGCGTTGGTTAGGTAAGACGCCATCGCGAGACCAAGGACAGGAGGAATCGTAGCAGAGGCAGCTGCATCAGTATGATGCGTACATCGTTCCATTCCGACCATGTTGGGTTCTGCCTGTCTTGACATGCCCGCGTTCTGCAACACCGAGACACGTTTCGATAAAACTTGGTCAGTACCTGCTTGCACTGGTGATGAAGCGCTTCCAGAGTGCGCTCCGCGTCCCAAGATTCTTAGCTTCCCCTAGACACATCGAAGACGTCACTGGGCGTCATTCCAGTGCTCCGTGTCAGAATAGCAGGTGGGTCGTCATGCCGAGGACGCGGATGACATGGGCTGAAGAGTAAGTGCAGTCGGGGCAGATGTGGACCAGACGGCAGGCGGGAAGATGGATGAACAGGAGCAGTAGAAGGACGGTGAGGAATGAGGCACGCACGCGACGGGGGACGGGAGAACGAGAATCATATAGCTGATATGTTCTGTGAACTGCCGAGTACAGAGACACAACTGGAACGACTGCGTAAGTTGCCGCGTCCACCCGGAGGGAGACAGGACATCAAGATGACAGTTGACGCTTAAGGATGGCTGTGAGCAGGGAAGCGGCACACTAGGAGGAAGAAGGAGCTAAACAGTAGCAGCTGGAACTCGAGCATTGCTTAGGTAGCAGCAGCGCGAGGAGCATGACCCACAATATGCAGACAAGACAGAAACAGGAGCGTCAGCAGAACGATAAGATGATCAGGAGCACCATGATGAGGAGGGAGAAGATGAGGAAGACAAGCATGAGTAGTGAGATGATGGCGGTGACGATGATAAGGTTGAAATGGGTGCGGAAGCAGTAGGGTGTGGAGGGAGCTGCTGCGAGCCTGCCACAACGCGCAGCGCGGCATCACTGGTACATGTTCTGGTCCTGCTGGCCATCTGCGTGGGTCCACTACACTGAAGGAGGCCTGGGACAAACAAAGAAATACACACAAATAACAGGATTCCCCATACTTTCCCATATGTTCAGTGTTTCTTGTCTTCCCCCCCGGCTCCAATATTTTCCCATCTTTTCCGAGGGATCGATTAATTATGTCTGTGTGCTTTTTTCCCTCCTGATACACCTGCTGTCGCTGCTCGTGTTCCTGCTTGCCCCCCCCTCCTGCATCCCCTTGCCCCTACAGTTAACTCCTCCGCGTCGCACACCCAAGGCGTGTCGGAGGGGCGGGCCAGGCGCCTAGCCGCAGAACTCCTCACTGTTGGTGACCATCCAGCCTGGAACTCGAAGCAGTGTCAAGAATGGGGGGGTCCCCTTCAGGATCGGGCCCTCACCTCAGCACCGCGCGCGTTTGGCTCAACGTCTGTACTACTTGCAAGGACGGAGAGGGGGGTCGTTTTCGAAATGTGGTTTTCGCCTTAGCGCCGCGTGTGTCTTTCTTAGAAGTTTGCAACGCCTGCAAGATGGAAAGTGGTGGTTTTCAAAGTGTGGCTATCGCTGTAGCGCAGTCCAAGTTCGTTTGAAAGCTTGCAGCAGCTTCAAATGTTGAGGACGATTCCTTTTCAAATTTTGCTCTCGCTTGAGCGCCGCGCACCTTCGTTTAAATAGTTTATAGCCGCTTCAGCCATGGAGGGCGGTCTCTTTCCCCAATTAGGCTTGCCTGAGGGAGTCTTACTTGGTTTTTGAAAAGGTTGGTGCCCAATATTCTGACTGTGTCTGTTCTTCGAAGGTTTCTCGGGTTCCCCGGGTTCCTCAGGTTCCCCGTCACCGGTGCCTCGTATTCTGACGTTGCTCGTTCTTCGGAGTTCCTCGGGTTCCCCCGGTTCCGCGGGTTCGCCGCCCCCGGTTGTCTGTTGTCCCCTCCGCACACACATACACCTACCCATCTACCCACCTACATACCTCCCTAGCTACCTGCACACATACACACATATTTATATATGTATGTATGCTTATACATACGTACATACACACATACAAACAAACAACACGCATACATACATACATACGTACACACATACCATACAATGCAACACGCTACAAGACAACACAATACCACACAGCACAACATAATACAATACAATGCAAAGCACTACAGTACACACAACATACAATACATACGATACAACATAATACACCACAATACAAACCATACAACACAACACAATGATACTTACATGCGAACAAGCATACATTCGAATCAACCTACACACTTACATACCTACGTACATACATACATACATACACGCACGCGTACAGACATATACATATAACGGCGCACCGTGTCCGGGGGCCCGGGGCCGGGACCTCGACCACAAATGTGGGCTCCGGGGGGCCCGGAGGCTCGTCGGGGCTTGCCGGAGGCCTCCCCGGTCAGACAAGACGGCCCCAGGAGCGCCCAAGACGGCCCAAGAAATTTCCAAGAGGCCTCCAAGAGGGCTCCGAGATGCTGAAGATGGCCTCCAGACGTCCAAGGACGCCCCCAAGAGGCCCCAAGAAGCTTCCAACATGCGTCCCAAGAGGGCCCCTAGACGCAAAAATTGGCCCATTCCCTTCGTAAAACGTACATTTTCAACAAAGTTGTCTTTTGGGCTTTCCGACGTTACAGGACGGCCCAAGAGGCGCCCAAGACCGCCCCAAGACGGCCCAAGAAGCTTCCCAGAGGGCCCCAGGACAGCCCAAGAGGGCCCCAAGACGGCCCAAGAGGCGCCCAAGATGGCCCAAGAGGGCCCCAAGACGGGCCCAAGAGGGGGCCCAGAGGGGGACCACGAACCGCAAGCTCGAGCCTTCCGCCCCAAGAGGCCGCCAGGAGGCCCCCAGGAGGCCCCTCAAGAGGCCCCAGGAGACCCCAGACGTCCAAGGACGCCCCCAAGAGGCCCCAAGAAGCCTCCAACATGCGTCCCAAGAGGGCCCCTAGACGCAAAAATTGGCCCATTCCCTTCGTAAAACGTACATGTTCAACAAAGTTGTCTTTTGGGCTTTCCGACGTTACAGGACGGCCCAAGAGGCGCCCAAGACCGCCCCAAGACGGCCCAAGAAGCTTCCAAGAGGGCCCCAGGACAGCCCAAGAGGGCCCCAAGACGGCCCAAGAGGCGCCCAAGATGGCCCAAGAGGGCCCCAAGACGGGCCCAAGAGGGGGCCCAGAGGGGGACCACGAACCGCAAGCTCGAGCCTTCCGCCCCAAGAGGCCGCCAGGAGGCCCCCAGGAGGCCCCTCAAGAGGCCCCAGGAGACCCCAGACGTCCAAGGACGCCCCCAAGAGGCCCCAAGAAGCCTCCAACATGCGTCCCAAGAGGGCCCCTAGACGCAAAAATTGGCCCATTCCCTTCGTAAAACGTACATTTTCAACAAAGTTGTCTTTTGGGCTTTCCGACGTTACAGGACGGCCCAAGAGGCGCCCAAGACCGCCCCAAGACGGCCCAAGAAGCTTCCAAGAGGGCCCCAGGACAGCCCAAGAGGGCCCCAAGACGGCCCAAGAGGCGCCCAAGATGGCCCAAGAGGGCCCCAAGACGGGCCCAAGAGGGGGCCCAGAGGGGGACCACGAACCGCAAGCTCGAGCCTTCCGCCCCAAGAGGCCGCCAGGAGGCCCCCAGGAGGCCCCTCAAGAGGCCCCAGGAGACCCCAGACGTCCAAGGACGCCCCCAAGAGGCCCCAAGAAGCCTCCAACATGCGTCCCAAGAGGGCCCCTAGACGCAAAAGTATCCCGGCAAAGCAACCTAACAGCGATGTGTAGGAGCATATCTGGAAGCATTCCCCTTAAGATTCAGATAAGAATCCTGTTGTAGAATTCTGCTGTTCTCGCAGTCGCGGTCGCATTCGCAATGGCAGTCGCAGTGGCAACAGCAGTCGCAGTCACAGCCTCAGCCTCAGCCTGCCTCAGCCTCAGCCTCAGCCTGCCGCAGCCTCAGCCTGCCTCAGCCTAGCCCTCAGCCTGCTTCAGCCTCAACATCAGTCTGCCTTCAGCCTCGTCCTCAGCCTGCCTCAGCCTCACCCTCAGCCTGCATCAGCCTCAGCCTGCCTCAGCCTCGCCCTCAGCCTGCTTCAGCCTCAACATCAGTCTGCCTTCAGCCTCGGCCTCAGCCTCAGCCTGCCTCAGCCTCAGCCTGCATCAGCCTCAGCCTCAGCCTCAGCCTGCCTCAGCATCAGCCTGCCTCAGCCTCAGCCTCAGCCTGCCTCTGCCTCAGCCTCAGCCTGCTTCAGCCTCAGCCTCAGTCTGCCGTCGGCCTCGGCCTCAGCCTCAGCCTGCCTCAGCCTCAGCCTGCATCAGCCTCAGCCTCAGCCTCAGCCTGCCTCAGCATCAGCCTCAGCCTCAGCCTCAGCCTCAGCCTGCCTCAGCCTCAGCCTCAGCCTGCTTCAGCCTCAGCCTCAGTCTGCCTTCAGCCTCGGCCTCAGCCTCAGCCTGCCTCAGCCTCAGCCTGCATCAGCCTCAGCCTCAGCCTCAGCCTGCCTCAGCATCAGCCTGCCTCAGCCTCAGCCTCAGCCTGCCTCAGCCTCAGCCTCAGCCTGCTTCAGCCTCAGCCTCAGTCTGCCTTCAGCCTCGGCCTCAGCCTCAGCCTGCCTCAGCCTCAGCCTGCATCAGCCTCAGCCTCAGCCTCAGCCTGCCTCAGCATCAGCCTGCCTCAGCCTCAGCCTCAGCCTGCCTCAGCCTCAGCCTCAGCCTGCTTCAGCCTCAGCCTCAGTCTGCCTTCAGCCTCGGCCTCAGCCTCAGCCTGCCTCAGCCTCAGCCTGCCTCAGCCTCAGCCTCAGCCTCAGCCTGCCTCAGCCTCAGCCTGCCTCAGCCTCAGCCTCAGCCTGCCTCAGCCTCAGCCTGCCTCAGCCTCAGCCTCAGCCTCAGTCTGCCTTCAGCCTCGGCCTCAGCCTCAGCCTGCCTCAGCCTCAGCCTGCATCAGCCTCAGCCTCAGCCTCAGCCTGCCTCAGCATCAGCCTGCCTCAGCCTCAGCCTCAGCCTGCCTCAGCCTCAGCCTCAGCCTGCTTCAGCCTCAGCCTCAGTCTGCCTTCAGCCTCGGCCTCAGCCTCAGCCTGCCTCAGCCTCAGCCTGCCTCAGCCTCAGCCTCAGCCTCAGCCTCAGCCTCAGCCTGCCTCAGCCTCAGCCTCAGCCTCAGCCTCAGCCTCAGCCTGCTTCAGCCTCAGCCTCAGTCTGCCTTCAGCCTCGGCCTCAGCCTCAGCCTGCCTCAGCCTCAGCCTGCATCAGCCTCAGCCTCAGCCTCAGCCTGCCTCAGCATCAGCCTGCCTCAGCCTCAGCCTCAGCCTGCCTCAGCCTCAGCCTCAGCCTGCTTCAGCCTCAGCCTCAGTCTGCCTTCAGCCTCGGCCTCAGCCTCAGCCTGCCTCAGCCTCAGCCTGCCTCAGCCTCAGCATCAGCCTGCCTCAGCATTCAAAATGTGGCCCGGGAATGGAGTTCTGGGAACTCGAAGAACACGAAGTGGCCTACAGTTGGCTCCGGGCATTCAAAATCATGCCCAGGAATGGAGTTCTGGGAACTCGAAGACCACGAAGTGGCCTACAGTTGGCTCCGGGCATTCAAAATGTGGCCCGGGAATGGAGTTCTGGGAACTCGAAGAGCACGAAGTGGCCTACAGTTGGCTCCGGGCATTATGTGGCCCGGGAATGGAGTTCTGGGAACTCGAAGAGCACGAAAATTCAGAATGTGGCCCGGGAATGGAGTTCTGGGAAATCGAAAAGCACGAAGTGTGTGACTGTATGCGAAAAACGATCCCCCCCGGCAAACCCCAACGGCCTCCCAACGGCCCCCAACGGCTGCCCAGACCCCCCTGTGGAGTAATGTGCTGCTCTCTTTTTAAGTCTATTAGAAACCTATCAGTCTTCGCTGTTAAGTAAATTTGCCCATTCCCTTCGTAAAACGTACATTTTCAACCAAGTTGTCTTTTGGGCTTTCCGACGTTACAGGATGGCCCAAGAGGCGCCCAAGACCGC